ATAATCAAGCATCAAACTTGGCGCCATTGGGGTCCCGACGATTTTTTTTCTAGAGAAAAAACTTGGGTCCCGACGATTTTTTTTGTTTTCTAGAGAAAAAACTTGGTTCCCGACGAATTTTTTTTCTAGAGAAAAAACTTGGTTCCCGACGAATTTTTTTTCTAGAGAAAAAACTTGGGTCCCGACGAATTTTTTTTCTAGAGAAAATTTTTTTTCTAGAGAAAAAACTTGGGTCCCGACGAATTTTTTTTCTAGAGAAAAAACTTGGGTCCCGACGAATTTTTTTTTCTAGAGAAAAAACTTGGGTCCCGACGAATTTTTTTTCTAGAGAAAAAACTTGGGTCCCGACGAATTTTTTTTCTAGAGAAAAAACTTGGGTCCCGACGAATTTTTTTTCTAGAGAAAAAACTTGGGTCCCGACGAATTTTTTTTCTAGAGAAAAAACTTGGGTCCCGACGAATTTTTTTTCTAGAGAAAAAACTTGGGTCCCGACGAATTTTTTTTCTAGAGAAAAAACTTGGGTCCCGACGAATTTTTTTTCTAGAGAAAAAACTTGGGTCCCGACGAATTTTTTTTCTAGAGAAAAAACTTGGGTCCCGACGAATTTTTTTTCTAGAGAAAAAACTTGGGTCCCGACGATTTTTTTTCTAGAGAAAAAACTTGGATCTCGACAAAATTTTTTTCTAGAGAAAAAACTTGGATCTCGACAAAATTTTTTTCTAGAGAAAAAACTTGGTCCCGACGAAGTTTTTTTTCTAGAGAAAAAACTTGGGTCTCGACGAAATTTTTTTTTTGGTCCCGACGAAGTTTTTTCCATGGAACAAGCTTGGTCCCGACTAAGTTTTTTCCATAGGAACAAGCTTGGTCCCGGCGAAGTTTTTTCCATAGGAACAAGCTTGGTCCCGACGAAGTTTTTTCCATAGGAAAAAGCTAGGTCCCGACGAAGATTTTTCCATATGAAAAAGCTTGGTCCCGACGAATTTTTTTCCATAGAAAAAGCTTGATCTCGACGAAATTTTTTTCCATAGAAAAAGCTTGATCTCGACGAAGTTTTTTCCATAGAAAAAGCTTGTCCCGCGACGAATTTTTTTCTATAGAAAGAACTGATTCCGCGACAATTGTTTTCTGTAGAAAAAACTTTTTCCGCGATGATTTTTTTTTCAATAGAAAAAACTTGTTCTGCAACGAATTTTTTTTCTATAGAAAAAACTTGGTCTCTCTGATGTCCCTGGCGTATGAGGAAAAACTTGGTCCCTCTGGTTCTGATGATTTTTTCTATAGAAAAACTTGATCCCTCTGGGGTCCCGAAATTTTTTTTCATGGGTCCGAATAATTTTTTGTCGTGGTGTGTCTGGGCCCATTATCCTCCATTTATCTTTTTTCTGCCCCTGAAAATCCATTGCAAAGAAATAGTCTATGACAATTTCCGCTGGAGGGTGGGCAATGATTTGTTTGCAATGGTCCATTACTTGCCTTTTAATTTGCTTCACTTGACACTTGTTTGATTTACACTCTTCAACGCAAAAATTAACCCTTTTCCATAAGAGAAGGGAAAACATATTGACCGTGTTGCAAAATCCGGGCGACGACACTCAAAGAAAAATATTAGTTGTGAACCCCAATAAAATAGGGTTTCATTCAAATTAGACTCCAAAAATGAATAGTGAAATTTGGAAATCCTCATTCCTTTCATCAAAATTTTAACATTTATCGAACATTTTTACTCGAGTGTAAACTGGTGTTGGTCGAAAGTTCAAATGCACTTTTTTTTGCCTGTCTGCATTTAAAGTGTCATCATAAGCACCATCATCTGTCTGCATGCGTTTGAAAACAGCACCATCAGCACATCGAGCAAGTGAAAATGGTTTTATTAGGTTAAAAATATTAAATTACCTCTGGGGGGTAAAACTTTCATGGCCAGACATTTCCATTAGTTTTTGAAAAAACCAAATTACAAATGCAATAATGAAAATGTGGAAAATGTTGCAGCATTAAATGAAACCGACAAATTTGTTACATGAGTTGGGTAGATATGGTGGGAAAATGGGAATTTTCTTTAAATTGGAAAAAATGGCTCTCAAATGTTTTGCACTGTTGATGGAACCAAAGCAAGGGGCCTCGACATCAGTTTCTGAGGAAAGGTTTATTAATAATTTATAGTTTATACAACACATCACAGGCTTTCTATGGCCCTTATTGATGGAAAAATAGGATTAGGATAGGATATAGGATATTGGATGCAACCAAAGCAAGGCAAATATATTTCTTTAGAATTTATAATTTATAAAATTCAACATAAGCCTTCTATGGGGCACGTTTTGATCGTTTCAAATGTTATAAGCATCTGTAACCATGTGACTGAGGGTATAAAAAATCACTCCTCAGTTTGACCCTGTCGATTTTTTTTATAGAAGGAAAAATCTTGGTCCCTCTGGTCATGACGTTTTTTTTCAGAAAAAAATTAATTCCCGATTATTTGCTTTTTTATAGAAATAATTTGGTTCCTCTGGTCCTGACGATTTGTTTTTCTATAGGAAAGCCACCCAATAAGCCGGGAAAATGGGATTTGTTTTTTATAGAAAAATTGGTTTTTTATAGCAAAATTGGTCCCTGAAATTTTTTTTAGAAAAGCTTAGTCCTTCTGGTTCCCGACGATTTTTTTCTATAGAAAAAATTGGTCCCTCTGGTTCTCGACGATTTTTTTCTATAGAAAAAAAAATTGGTTCTTCTGGTTCCCGACAATTTTTTTCTATAGAAAAAAATTGGTCCCTCTGGTTCCCGACGATTTTTTTCTATAGAAAAAAATTGGTCTCTCTGGTCTTTGGCGATTTTTTTTTTATAGAAAAACCTTTGTCCCTCTTGTCCCCCGACAATTTGCTTATCTATAGGAAAGCAAAAAATAGAAAAATTGGTCTTTGACATTTTTTTTAGAAAAGCTTGGTCCCTCTGGTTCCCAACGATTGTTTTCTATAGAAAAAAAATTGGTTTCTTTGGTCTTCGGCGATTTTTTAAAAAAAAAAACCTTTGCCCCTCTTGTCTCCGACAATTTGCTTTTCTATATCAATCCTATGGACCTTGAAAATGGGATTTCCTTAAGATTTATAATGGCTATAATGACTTTTCTCTCAATTTTAACAAGTAAAAAAGAAGCCAAGATCGGCCGAACTTTTTATATCCTTCATCATTTGTAAGAAACTTGAAAAATATCCACAAAATTCTATCGAAAAATACCGCTCGAATGAAAACCGCTATATAGGGCCTATACGAAGACGTGGTCCTGCATAAGTTATTTGTGTCAAAGGCTGTAGTAACGGTTCCGAACTTTATATACGAAATTTCAAATAAATAATTCTGGTGAATAATTTCGTAAGAATCATGAAAATACCGAAGATCTGGGGGTACCGTTATATGGGCGCGTGGACCTATTTTAACAATTTTCTTCTAAGGGGCAAAGTACTCAGAAGGAACCCCTTGTGTAGATTTTAAGACCATTCCATTGTTAAACTTGGCTCAAATCATAAAAATACCGAATATCGGGGGTACCGTTATATGGGGCCCACCTATATAGATAATTCGCGGACCTATATAGATAATTCTTTTCCAGGGGATAAAGTACTCACAAGAAACTTCTTGTGAGAATTTTCAGACAATTCCACAGAAAAAATGTTACTAAAATCATCAAAATACCGAATATTAAGGGGGGAGGGGGGGTTATACGATATCCTGGACCTATGTAGTTAATTCTCTTCCAGGGGATAAAGTACTCACAAGGAACTCCTTGTGTGGATTTTTAGACAATTCCATTGAAAAATGTGGCTAAAATTATCAAAATACCGAATATCGGGGGGTGCCATTATATAGAAGATATGTTTGGACCGATATAACCCATCTTCGAACTTGACCTGCCTGCAGACAAAATATTCGATCTGTGCAAAATTATAGCTTCCTATCTTAATTCGTTTTGACTGTAACCCGATTACAACAGACTGACGGACGGGCAGACAGACTGTCTGAAGGGGAGCCGCACGGTAGACGAGCTGCACGATATTTTATATAGTAGTGCTTGAGCCCGTCTCTGAAAGTCAGGTTTCTGTATGGACGAGGTGAAAAGTGAATCTCTTATGTGGACAAGCTGAAGCGAGAATCTCCCTCATAGGCGAGCTGAGGCGCGAGAGTCTCTCTCAGAGACAAGCTGAAGCGCGGGAGTCTCTCTCAGAGACAAGCTGTAGCACGACAGTCTCTCAGAGGCAAGTTGAAGCACATGAGTCTCTCTCAGAGGCGAGCTGAAGCGCAAGAGTCTCTCTCAGAGCAAGCTAAATCGAGAAAGCTTAATGGTTCATAAGATATATCAAAGACCTTTTATGGTCCTTCATGATAAGAAGATGGGATTGTCTTTCGTTTTGTAAATGGCACCCAAATGTTTGAGACATCTAAATGAAGGGACCAGAAGAACAGTTTTCTGTTATCGCTATTCTTAACAACTTATACAACTCATCTTGAAGGCCTTCCACAGGTTTAGGGTACCCAGAAGATATTCTGTAGGTCTTTTAAAGTACTTTCTATAGGTCTTCTAGGCACTGAATATCTTTTATAGGTCTTATGGGTAATGAAGACCTTCCATTTGGGTCTTATGGACCTAGGAAAGTTTTTAGGATCCATTCTTACATAGAATATATTCCATTGACTCCTTTCGCTGTAAAGGGTTTACTGAACTATCAAATTTCCTGGCATTTGAAATCAAAACTCTCAAAAAAAAAAAAACAAAAAAAACAACAGAACTATGCCACCAAAAAAATCGATGACCTCAAATGCGGAATGGGAAGACGTCACAACAAATGTCTGCATGCCCCAACAAACATAAATTTTCGGATTCAAAATAAATAAATGTTTATTATTGCCACTAACGATGGCTTATTAGCATTCGAAACCATTACAACAATCAATTCATGTCATATTTTTTCTCTAACCTCCCCTCCCCCTCTCTCGTTTTCTCTTTCCAGGATAAAGAAAAAGTCAAACCAAAAGTATTTGGAAAACTTTTGTGCAGAACGCAAACTCTAACCAGTCAAGGTTGAAAAAGAAAAAAAAACAAAACGAAATTCCAAAGAAAGTCATAAAAATTGTCTAGCAGGCAATCGGAGGTACAACAAATTCCTAAACAATGTCATCAACTGGGAATCATCATACCCATTTGGCCCATCCACAAATGGCGCCGCCACCACCCCCTCCCAAACCCAATAAAACACCACAAGCCTATGCCAATGGAAATGGAAACGGCACACTGGCGAATGGTAGTGCCATCAGCAATGGCAACGGCACACTGCACGGCTCGAATTCAAGCATTCAGAAGCTAAACGGACGCAGTCCTTGTCACACGCCACCGCGTACCGATCGAGAGCACGTCGTAATGACACCCAAGGGAAAAACTGCCAACAGTACGGTGATACTAATCGAAAGGAAATTGGTCGATGAGGTCAACGAGCGGACCCATGTGGCGGGTGGTGATCACACAGGCATTATCATCAATAAGGATACAGTGGCTGGTCAGAAATCCCAAACCACCCCGGCACAGTTATCGTTGGAATTTCGGGTATTCTTGGTCAGCGCCAATACAGGCAAACATTCACAGGAGTCGCGGACATTACGTTTTTGGTTCCGCGATTGGTTGAAAAATGACGCTGAACAGGCCCATGTAGCCCAGGACTTTTTCAAGGAGCTGGTCAGTCCAAAGGATTTTCCAAGGGGTGAGTAAAAAGAACAATAATAACAAAATAATAAAAGAAAGAGGAACATTGTATCCAGAAAGAGAGGTATAAAGACGACCAGGAAGGCATCTCTAAAAGATACTAAAAGGGAATTACTATATACGGATAGAAGTGAATTTCGAGAGCAATGAAGACAAGAAGGAATTCGGCCAGACTCTCAAAGGAAGTCTTTATAAACAGTCAAGATAAATTTTTAAAGATTGGCGGGAGTTTTTTTTATAGACGTGCAGGAGTAAGCTCTTATAATGACCAGATGAATGTATTTTTATACGTTGAGGAAAGTATTTAGACGACCAGAGGGTAGTCTTTATTGGCAGTCTCGGGGTATCTTTTGAACGACCAGAGGGGATTCTTTTTTGGGGACAGTTGGGAGTCTTTAAAGGCGGCCAGGAGAGGAATTTTTATAGACTTATGGTTCGAGTGTTTAGAGACAGTTAGGAATAAGTTTTTAAAGAGGACTAGAAGGAAGTCTTAAAGAGGGCTAGGAAACAGTCCTTAAAGATAGTCAGGAGGAGTCTTTATAGGCGGCTACAGTTAAAGCTTTAAAGACGGCCTGACCGAAATCTAAAGACAGGAGGAGGGCAAGGAGTATTTTAGACGATCACATATGAGTTTTAAAAGAAGGTCAGTGTCTTCTTAGACGGAGAGGAGAGTCTTAAAAAACGATGACATAGATGCGCAGAGGGTCTTCAACGACAAGCTGACAGGAGTTTTTATCGCTGAGCTGAAGCGGAGCCTAAGCGTGTCTCTGAAGGGCAAGTCTATATTTAGATGAGCTTAAGAGCGATACTGTTATTTAGAAGAGCAGGATAGCGAGTCTCATGCATAGACGAGCTGGAGAGCGAGCCTCTATATAAATGAGCTGGAGAGCCAGTCTCTATCTACAGACGGACTGGAAAGCGAGGGTCTCTACATAGACAAGCTGGAGAGCGATGGTCTCTATATCGACAAGCTGGAGAGCGAGGGTCTCTGTATAGTCGAGCTGGAGGGTGAAGGTCTCTATATAGACGAACTGGAGGGCGAAGGTCTCTATATAGACGAGCTGGAGGGCGAAGATCTCTATATAGACGAGCTGGAGAGCGAGGGGTCTCTACATAGACGAGCAGGAGAGCGAGGTTTTCTATAGAAGTTCGTTACGTGAGCCGAAAGTGCGCCTCGGCAAGCAAACTAAGGGTGACTCGGTCGGGAGGAGAGCCTCTCCTTACCTAAAGACGAGCAGAAGAAAGCCTCTCTCAAAGCATCTCCCTCTGTAGGCAAGTTGAAGGAAGTCTCTATCGTCCATAGAAGTGTAGAAGGAAGTTTCTCTCTCCCGCACTCACTTTCTCTCTCTCTCTCTCTCTTAAAAAAAGAAAAAAAGGACAGAACGAAGTCTATCTCTTTCTATAATCGAGCCTTTTATGCAAGTCTTTATCTGGGAACTGAAGCGAGTTTTTGTAGGAAGTTTTATAGGCGAGCTTTCGGATCACTTTTAAGGCAAGCTGTAGGAGAGTCGCCAAAAGAAAGACATTGGTGACTTTAAAACTTTGGGTGGACCCTTTCTTTAGAGAAATTTTAAACATGTCTGCCTCAAAGGCAAAACTTGTAAAGATTTTCTATAGGAAGAGCACCTCCTAGGGGCCTTGTAAAAATAGAAAATATTTGTAGGGTCTTCTGGAGAAAACATTTCCTTTAAAGATTTTCTGTAGAAAATTTTACTTGAGACCATAGGGAAGTGTCATAGGCGACCAGAAGAAAGTCTTTCCAGACGAATAGAATGGAGTCCTTATGAACCTTTTTCATTGGAAAAATATTAAAATTTTTTGATTGGCATTTTTTTAAATCAGATCTCAGCTTCAAATATTTTTCCTATTTTGAAAAAAAATCTATTAAAAATATATTTTTTTATTTTTATTTTAAATCATATTTCACTTATGTTTTCTTTTTCCAGACTACGTTGGCTTCATCAAGAAGATTATGAAATTGATGCAAAAGGGTTACGATGAAATTCAATCGCTTGAAATAGAATTGCGAATATTAGAAGAAACCGCAGAGCCGCCATCCAGACCGCGTAAGTATTTATTTCTATGACAGTGGTGAAGTGACGAAGATGGTGGAGGCACCAACAAACAGAAAATAAAAAAAATCGAAGAGTTAACCACATTCAAGGTTACGACTGAGTGCGAGTTAATGTGAAACCCCACGAGTCAACGAAAAAATGATTTCATATATTCGGGTTACAGTTTTGACCTGAATTTTAGATATTTATATGATTTTTAATATTTTTTTCTATTAAAAAAAAAAACATTTCTAAAATTCTATTCCACTTTCGATTTATGCCACACAACAATGTAAACTGCATCCAAAACTCTTCACATCCAACTATTCTTTCTATTCCTGCAAATCAAACAAACAAACAAAAAAACATACAACATCTGCAACCACAACCAAAATGGGATGACAACAAATACAAAACTTGATCCTTTGAACTTTTTTCTTTTCCACTTCATCTACTCCTACTGCATTACATTTGTTTTTGGCCAAACTATACCAACCGAACCAAAAAATGCATTGCTTCCCATGTTCACCACCTTATTTCTGTTGCACCAAATTCTGGCATCGGATGCTGACGATTATGAAACGGATGATGATGATGACGATGGAATTGATGTACAGCTCGTGATGGTTACATTATTTACTGTTACGGCGACTGCAATCGCAAATTCGAGGAAGCCTTGCAGGCCCAACAGCAAACAGGTGATGGCGATGAAATAATGAAGGCAATATGGCTTGAAATCTACCATGAACAACTAACAACCACAACAGCAACAACAAATGCCACTGCAACAACGCGGAAATGATAATAACCCCCATCAAACCTCCCCGACAAACATTCAAAACAATTGGAATTAAAATGAAACAAAAAAAGAAATCAAAACAAGACCAACAGATAGACAAACAAAACAATCAGTTCAGCTCAGCCAGTCCAATTCATCTATGCATCCAAGCATCTATTTCTAACCAAAACCATTCTCTTTGCTCCATACTCCCAAACTAACCATTATCCAACCAACGAAGCATCCAACAACCTACAATCAAAAAATGTTGCATGGAAAGTTGGGTGAAAATTTGATGTTGTAATGAGGTTGGAAATACCGAAACATTACACGTTGAGGAAACCGTATTGCAAAAAGTGATGGACATTATTAATTATAAGCTGTCATTTATTTCACACATTTGAAAGAAGTTTTATTTTTTTTTCTCAACACCAAATCCAAGACTTTTTAAATCAAAAATTAAAAAAAAATTAAAAGAAATACTAATAAAATAAGTTTTAATGTTTGGTGGTGTGTCGTTATTTTGAATATGAGCCTAAGTCCAGTTCTAACCTAATACTAAAAGTCGTCTCTAATAGAGCTTCTTAAGATCACCAGAAGATCAAAATCTTCCGATAACATGCAGACAAAAGGTCTCCTAAAGATATTTAACAACAATGCGACTTCTCAAAGGCCTTAAACTCAAAAAATACCTCTCAATGAATCATATAGGCCTTTTAAGGATTTTTTTTTATAAATATGACATCCTTCGGGTCTTCTACTAATATAATAAGGGTGAACTAAAAATACTGCAACAAAGTTAAACGCCATAATTTTTACATTTTATTTTTTTTATTTTATTGAATGAAAACAAAAAATGTCGGAAATAGCATCAAATTTTAGAATAAGTTTAGATTTGTTCGAATTGGCCAGCTTTGACATGAGTTATGGCCTTTAAACGGCCAATGAAACCGTCATACGCTGCCCGAATGTTGCTCTGCGGTATTTTGGTCCATTCGCGGCGAAGCGCTTGCTTGAGGTGATCGACACTTTGGTATTTTTTAGTGCCAACCTTGCTTTCCAAAATACTCCAGAGACAATTGTCCAACGGATTGGTATCCGGAGATTTTAGTGGCCATTGTGCGCTGGAAATAAAGTGAGGTACATTTTGTAACAATTCTTGGGTGGCGCGTGCTTAGGGTGATGGTGCTGAGTCCTGTTGGAATGTCCAAGGTCTGTGGCCAAAATGTTTGCGTGGCCAAGGCTTTAATGCACCCTCTAGAAAATTTTCGCTATAATATTCGGCATTTATTCTGATGCAACGGTCGATTAATACCAGCGGAGAGCGACCATCTGCTGTTATGTCGGCCCACACCATCACCATGGCCGGTACTTGATTTCTGGTGGCCAACCGGAGGTGCACATTTTCAGCTGACGTCTTTGGCAAGTAAACACGATCATTTTGTTTGTTTACAAACTGCTGGACAACGAATGTTTGGAGAAAACCAAATTCGGCAGTTCACCACTTTCGGCCAAGCGAAGCAACTCTTTAGCTCTTTTGGGTCTATTTTCTTTTTGTTTTTTTAAATTATTGCACTTTTTGAAATTTCAATGGCTTTAGCCCGAGCTCATTTTTTCAATATTTGCCGAATGGAATATTGCGATATGTCCAGCTCACGAGCCATTTTTCGGTCACTGCGACGAGGGGGTTTAATCAAGTCGCTTCTTTACTTTACGAACCATTTCTGCTGATGTTGCTGTTTCCTTCCGCCCACTTCCCTGACGTCGGGCTACGCTACCAACATCACGGTAACGAGCGATGGTGCGAAACACAAAAGATTTATTCACATTTAAATGCTGGAGTGCTCTAACGATAGCCTCTTGTGGTTTTCCAGCCAAATTTAAAGATATCACACTATCACGCTTGAATTCCATCACGAGTAACTTTTTTTCTGGAAAATTCTCACCAAAATGCTTTTATACGCTTGTAAACAATATAATGAGCTGTCATTGGAAAAATTTTAACAGCTGTCGGACAAGTGGCTTAGAAATGACAGAAGTCTGAAATTGGTTGCAGTTTTTTCATCTTACGCTGTACAAATGTGTGCCAAATTGTAGCCTATCTCAATTCGTTCGAAAAGTACTGTGATTACAACAGACAGACAGACCGACACACAAACTGACAGAGGGACAGACGGACATCGCTAAATTGTTTTAGAACTTTACGCTGATCCAGAATATTAATATTTCGAGGAGTTACAAATGGAATAATAAAGTCAATATAACCTCCATAGTATGGTGGAGGGTATAAAAAGGCTACTAAAAGTGTACAGTTGGTCAGAAAGTAGTCCTTATATGCAAAATGTTGGCATCTTTAAGGACAACCATAAACTCCTACCTAAAACCTTTTTATTTTTAAATCAGACAGCTCAAATAGTTCTATTATATAGAGCCAGACCTTCGAAAAACTCGCTCAAATTAGAGTAAAGAGTGAAAATTCCTCGACGTCGAGTAGGAGCACTCCTGGGAGTAGAAAAAAACAAATGGGCAAAACTCTATATTTCGATTTCGCTCGAAAAAGGCGGGCATGCTTTGGTCATTTTGGAGTGGAAGTAAAAACACTCGTTAGCTCGTACCACAAAAACAGTTTCTGAAGAGTATTGTCCATTGGGATCATAAAGAGTGTAGGACGATTGAACAGATTCCGTGGTATATTCCCATTTCTGGAGAAATCTTTTGAACAGGTTAATTCCACTGGACAATATGCCTTCCAACACATTTTTCCACTCCAAGATACACATCAATGGAAAGCTTATGGAGAATACTATCCATTGGCATCATGTGACCATTTCTGGAGAAATAATGACTCGGGAGCGCTCCCACATAAAAACAAAAGAGTAAAGAGTAAAATCCATATAAAACTGTATACCGCTCGCGAGCATGTTTCATTCCCAATTGAAAATGAGGAAATGTATTCTCTTATAGGGGCTATTTTAACACGTAGGCCAACGTATTTAGTTTTTAAAATTAAAGATCGTAAAAATAAAATTGTTGGCTGTGTTTAATAGCAAAAATCTGTCTCAAATATTACAAGCTTTTGTAATTCCACTTTAAAAAACTGGAGAAACTGATTGGGAATACCTATCTTATCGAGGATCTCCGAGGACAAGTACAGGGTGTAACAAACAATATTAATCCTCTACATCTTAGGATGAGGGGTATAAAAACGTTTCAGTCAAAATCTCCATCAAAAATCCCTCTAACACCATCTCCAATCCTTTGGCATGGCTAAAATCTTTCTCAAACGGCTGTTTAACTTCAAGTTTGTCTATGCTGCAGGTCTTCGTTTGTGCAAATGCCTTATTCTAACATTTCTCCTCCCATAATGTGTTGTGTCCTGCATGAACCACCCACCACCCAACCAAACCCAACATTACCGGATGGATGGCAAAGCTTTTACGTGTTTCATAACCATTTATAACGGCTCTCAAGGAAATCATTACCTTCACATAAGTGTATACATTCAGGATAATTGTGGCAAAGCAAGAAGACGAAAAAAAAAAAAATAACAACCACAACAACACCCAGCATTTAACGCTAAGTGCTGTTCTGCAAAATTATCCTACCACAACAAAAATAATCTACCCCATTATCCATCAAAATCATCGTTTAGGTTTTTTTTGGAATGTATCCGCTCGCTCCTCTGTTGTTGAACTAACACACATTAACAATTTTCCATTTTTTTGGAGAAAACGCTTACATTGTTGCGTCCTTTTTTGTTTTTTGCAAAAACCATGAAGGCAAATTTAAAAGAGATTTTTTCAAAATTTTCGTCGTCTGTGTACAAAACATTTACATATTATTTGTATGATTAAAAAAAATTTAAAGCTTTAATATTTTTAACCTTGAACTGCCCTTTTTTAATACCACAACAACAAGAAATAACAACAATAATGGATGTGATGGTCTTAATTTAAAACAATTTATTTGATCTTTGCTTTTTTTGTTTCTTTACTCTCTCTCTCTCTCTCTCTCTCTCTTGTTGCCGTAAACGCACACACACCCACCACAGTGTCCATGGATGAAAACCAATTCGAATCTCCACCCCTGACACCGGAAAAAGTACTCGAACTCATTGAGCAAGCCTATCCAAATCCCATAACTCCCGAAGATTTGGCCAAGTAAGTTTGAGAGCTTTTGCGGTTTTTAATTTAAATTGAAATATGTAAATTGGAATTAATATTGTTTTCTGTTCTCTTGTCCAGGGACTATGGCTGGGAGGAACAAGATGTCATCTTGGTATTCATGTCTCTCAAGGAAAGGGGCCTCATCAAATCAATGGAATACAATTCATACACCAGAATCCATCATGAAGACAAGGAGATAAAGGTGAGTAGATATTTGCATATTTTTTATAACCTCCACCATACCACCATGGAGGGTATATTAACGTCGTCATTCCGTTTGTAACTCCTCGAAATACACATGTCAGACCCAACAGCGTAATCAGCATAAAATTCTAAGTTGATTTAGCGATGTCCGCCTGGCTGTGTGTCTGTCCATCTGTCTGTTGTAATCACGCTGTCTTTCGAACGAACTGAGATAGAAGGGTAAAATATGGACACATATGTATTTTGCCAGTAGGAAGGTTATGTTCATAAATGGGTCATGTAGGTCCACGTTTTCATATAGTCAAATTTCAAATTTCGTAGTTGAAGTTCGTAATGGGTACTACAATGTATGACAAAAAATCGCGTATGCAGATCCAAGTCTTCGTATAGCCCTCATATAGCCCTACCTCCCAATAGTGGGTATTTTAATGATGTTAGCAATATTTTTACCGGAATTATTTAAAATTTCGTATTTAAAGTTCGTAATAGCAAAAAGTCTTCATAAAGCCCCATTAAAGGGGTTACATTTGAGAGATATTTTTTTTACGGATTTTTTTGAAGATTTTTAAGTTCCTTCAAAATGGTGGAGGGTATTAAAAGTTCGGCCCGGCCAAATTTAGCTGCTTGTTTAAAATACAGAATGGAAGAGATCAATGCACAAGATGCTTAATTTCTGATTCAAATACTAGAAATACTCCTGAGATGGAGATTTGCAATTCTTACACATTTCTTAGCTATAATTTACCGTACTGGGAAGATTTTCAGGTCCATATTAAAAATCAACTAGATTTTGGGCTAAATTGGGATAATTTTAACCCCAGATGAGAAGGCGACCAATCTTCTTTACCACTCTTCTAGAGTAAATTAATTGACTCTGGCAGACTGACTTAATGATTCATCAACGACCGGACAAAACGACTGTAGCTGGAATTTTGAAATTTTGGATGGGGGTCACACTTAATCCGAAGGTGTCAGATAAGGCTGGATTTTTGGAAATTCGAACAAGAGCGGTACGAAAAGTACAGGAAGGTACTAAATATGGTACCATTTGTATTTGAACCAGGAAAGCTAGAACTTCTATTTTTGGAATGAGAGTAATTGATGAAGTATATGATGCGTGTATCAAAGGATTTTTGAGAATTTAGGCTATAAGTGTACGAAAAGTACTAAAATGTACTACATTTGGTACCATTTTGTATCATGTGAATGGTTAGAGCTAAAAAAAAAACTTGAAATTGGGAATGGAAATAAAGGTTGAGGAATAGGGTCAATATATGAAGGAAACTTTGGAAGTGTTAACTCATATGAACAAAAAGTACTAAACGGTACTAAATCGGGGTACAATTTGAATTTGGAGGAACGGATAGCGCTGGAATCCTGAAATTTGAAATTAACTTTACTGGCAGATTGTAGGATTGGGATATGGAAGTGATTTTCGACATTTGTACTTACATGCACGAAAAGTACTAAATGGTACTAAATTTGGTACAATTTCGATTTTAGTGAACCGATAGAACTGGAAATTTGGAAATAAGATTACTATTCCATTGCAATTTGCTATGAGAATAAGGTTTGGAAAGTAAGGTGGTTTTGTGAAAGTGTGTGTGAACTGTACTAAACAGTACTAAATTTGGAACATGTTGGTTTAGGGTAAATGGATAAAGCTGCATTTTTAAAGTTTTTTGTATTGGTGTTTCTGATTTGTGATAAAGATATGGTTTTACAAATATGTACTACGAGTGCAAGAAAAGTACTAAATAGTACTATATTTGGTACACTTTGGTATTGGGCGAACATATAGTGCTTAAAATCTTAAATGTGGTATTAGGGTTGTCGTACTACAATTTTACGAAAAGTACTAAATGTTACTAAATTCGATACAATTTGGTTTTGGATGAATGGATTGATCTGGAAATGTAAAATGTTGATATTTGGGTCATTGGTGGTGGGTAGGGTTATAAAAAAGGCAAATTCATTCATCAAGCGTACGAAAAGTGCTAAAAGGTGCTAAATTTGGTATTGCGTGAACGGATAATGCATGAAATCTGAAATTTGGTATTAGGATCGCTGTTAGTGTGTAGGGTTAAGATTTGGAGGTAGTTTTGAAAGTATGTTTAAAAAAGTTCTAAATGGTACTAAATTTGGTATTTGGAGAAATAATTGAGTTGGAAGTATACGCTATTAGGATCAACTTTTGTCTGATACATACCATAGGGTGGATTTGGAAATGTGTACTACAAATGCACGAAAAGTACTAAATAGTACTATATGTGGTACAATTTGGTATTGGGTGAAAAGGTAGTGTTTAAAATTTGGCATTGGGTCACTGTTCATTTTTAGCTTCGACATATAGCGGTGGTGTTTTAATAGTGTACTGTAATTGTACTATAAGTTCCTAATTTTGATCTTGGTTGAATGGATAAAGCAAAAATACTGAAATTTGATATTTAGATTACTGGTGATATCTGTGTTTGAGGTTTGACGGTATTTGTACGAAAAGTACTAAATGGTACTAAATTTGGCATTTGGAATTCTTAAATTTGATGTAGATGTCTCTGTTAGTGTCTGTGGTTGAGAAAAGTAGCATATTTTGGATATACGTACCAATGGTACTAAATTTGGTAATCGGGAAAATTAAAGAGCTGACATCCTGAAATTTGGAATAAAGTTCACTGTTTGTATCCGGAGTTGAGATATTAAGGCTCGTTCGGAATTGTGTACTACAATTGTTCGAAAAGTACTAAGTGGCACCCAATTTGGTATTGGGTGAAGAGATAGATCTGGAATCCCGAATTTTTGATGTTGAGGTCTCTCTTGGTATCTGGTGGTGGTTTTGCAAATGCTTTACGTTCTTCAAAAAGTACTAAATGGTACTGATTTTAAATCGCTGTTGCTGTCTAGATTTACTAAATGATACTATATTTGGTATTGGGTAAAGGGATAGAGCTGGAATCCCGAAATTTGATATTGAAGTCTCTCTTGGTTACATATGAAGACGTTAAAATAGTTGTGGACAGAAAAAACGATGTGGGTCCATTGTGTAATAGTTTTGCCAATATCATCCTCGGAAAACTTGAAAATGAAAGATTTTGAAGGCTTTTCGGTGTAAAAGTTTAACATATTCCTATTATTCTTTTCGAAGAGGGAAAAACTTTCAAAAAGTGTATAAAACCTAGAAAATCTGAAATATTAGTACAATATATGAAGTTTCAATTACAAAATTCTGTCAATTTGAACAAATTGTGCATTTTGAGTACTAAAAAGTCCTAACACGAACTATTGGAAGCAATCTAAAATTTTAAGCTGGACTTTTCACTGACGAAGTATACTTGCTAGTATAAGATAAATGCTCTGGGCACTGCAATTTTTCGGTAGGAAAAATTTTATCTGTTGAGAACCCAAAACATCAATTACAGCTGATTTTGTTGGAAAATATTGGTAAAATTCTAAAAATACCCAAAATCAATATTTCGTACCTTTTGGTACTTTTAATCCATTTTGACACTTTTCGTACCCTTCAATTTTGGAATATCCGAATATTTGTAACCCCTACGCGTTAAAATTGAACCTCATGCAAAGATTTCACGATTTTAATGTTATGCCTTTTTATGGGAGTTCATGAATCAGCCATTAATAAATTATTCAAAAAATATTTAGAGGTTTAAAAGTTGTTGTGACAATTCACGAGGGAGGATATTTACACCGAAAGATTAGCATCCATTTCATATTAATCGAATTTTCTTTAATTTCTTGTTTTCAGGTCGTCAAGCAAATGCCAACAATTGCATCCAACAAACAGCCGACCATTGCCATTATTACGGCACAGTATTGTGAAAAATTGGCCGTGGATGCCATGTTGGAGAACAAGGAGACCTTTGTGCGCTACACCACTGTGGGTAAGTTGAGAAGCATTTAAAACGTTTATAAAATTGAAGAAAAATAATAAGGAACAGGCTCAATTTGAGGACAGACCATGCTGATTCTCATTACCTTATCTTAAAAAAAATAATACAGAACCCTCTAAAAGACATCTACTCAACAGAAGTTTAATCAATTAATGCATTTATTTTTCTTTTCTTGTCTGTACACCAATACTACTACCACCACCACCACAACTACAAACAAACATTCTCCCCCCTCTGGCCCTTCTAATCCATTAAAAAAAAAAACATAACCTCCAAAACAGATACTCTTACTAAAGATTCGTTAAAAAAGAAAAAGAGAAGACGTGTTGGTAAGAAACAAAGCTAGCTCGCTGGAAGCCCCACTTTAGCATTATATCCTTAAAATGTCCTTGTAAAAAAATCGAATTGAATTGAAAAATTGTCAAGCTTTTTATGTTGTAGCCGTACCGAAGTATGTTTTTTTGTTATTGTAATTGGTCGTATCTGGTATCTGGGATATATTTTGTTGTTGTAAAAAGAACACCGAACAAAAACATTGTTGTGTCCTCTTGTCTATTGCCACATTTTTATGTTTCAAATTCATACGATACTCGCCCCAACCTCCCCTCTCACAACCGATCACCCAACCACCATACAAAGCTGCCCGCCCCACTCTCTCTTGTTCAAAAACATTTGGTCCATATTTTTGTTGTTAGCACCATTGAAGTCCACCATTTGGAATTAACCCAAATCACCCTTCACCATAACACCCTGGAATATAACCTAAGATTTTTTGAAAATTATTATTAATATTTTTTTTGTTTTTGTTATTTTTTCCTGATATTTAGGTGAATCTAATGTCTATACCCTGGGCAATATTGGTGCTCATCGCATTGTCAGCACAAAGTTACCATCGGTGGGTAGCACTCGTGAGGCCATGACCGCCACCGGAAATACCACCACCCGTCTCTTGGGCACATTCCAAAAGGTTGACTATGTCTTTATTGTGGGCGTGGCTGGTGGTGTACCCCATTACACCGATTACAAGAAACATGTCCGCCTAGGCGATGTCGTCATTTCGTATGTGGACAAGCAGCGTGCCTTGGCTAATGGGTAAGTAATTTGTATACCCTCCAACATAGTATGGAGGGTATATGAAGTTTTATGTCTGCAGGACTTTTTGTATTGAAAATGGGCCATGTAGGTCCACGTTTTAGTATAGCCCCCAATAGAACGGTACCACCGGATATTCGGTATTTTGATGATTTAAGCGACATTGTTCACCGGAATTGTTTCAAATTTGGTATATGAAGTACGAAATGGATACTACAGCCTAAGACAGAAAATTGAAAATTGCCCCTATATAACGGCACGTCCCGATATTCGGTATTTTGATGATATTATAGACATTATTTGACGGAATTGTTTCAAATTTGGTATTTGAAGTTTGTAATGAATATTACAACCTATGACAGAAAATTGTCTGTGCAGGTCCACGACTGCGTACCATATAATGGTACCTCCCGATATTCGGTATTTTGATGATTTTAGCTATATTATTCACCGGAATTGTTTCAAATTTGGTATTTGAAGTTCGTAATGAATACACTGAAAGAAAATTGTCAGTTCAAGTCTACGCCTTCGTATAGCCCCATATAACGGCTCTACCGATATTGGGTATTTTGATGATTTTAGCTACATTATTCACTGATTTTTTTAAGTTTCGCATTTGAATATTGTAATGGCTTATGACAAAATTTGCCTATGCATGTCCACAGGCTATATTCGGTATTTTTAAGATTTTAACAGATTTTTTTTTTTAAATTTCCAAATTCGTTCGAAATTGTGGAGAGTAGTCAAAGTTCGGCCCGGTGGAACTTACAGCTTTTATACTTTTTTTTTGATTTCGGAACTGATCCGAACAAATTTTAGCAAATAAAAATTAAAACGGCAATTGATTCCGCCCAACAGAATTTATATACATTTGTCCATGAAAAAAATTAATATAACCGAATTGGTTGCCCTCAAAATCCCAAAATTTCGGTTAAAATTCTTAATGTCATTGTTAGATAATCTTCCATATGTTTTGTATCTCAAATACCAAATGGAAGCCCTTTCAGCGTGAAATGTGGTTTTTGCAATACATAAAGGACACATCAAGTAGTTTGGAAAAGTGGGGTTAAAAATAGAAAACACGTAACGTTGAAAGATTACATCGCAACGTAACCCCAAAAGAAAGGGCAAGTTCGCCCCTTCTTCCATTTTTTTTATTTATTTTGGAAATTTTCGGATTAAGATTCCTTGGAATCCTTGCAATTATGTATGTAGTGTCTTCGGCGATAATATTTCAAGTTTTTTTTTTTTTTTTTTGGTGAAAATTTTTAACCCTCAAGTGAGTTACTAAAGGGAACTTTTGTGCCCTTATTCAAAAAAAAAAAAAACCTAAATTCTCCCATTAAACGAGATCGTTGAAATCCAAAATATTCAAGAAAATTATATATCATCAAATTCTTCTATGGGTCCCTGAAGATATCAAAAGTGGAACAATAGACATTCCTAATTTTTAAAAACAGATTTTACGGTTAAAGCCATACTTCATGTGGGTTTATGCAAAATTCTCCTGCAAAGTTTCATTTTAGAACCGTGGCAGCAAAGGCAAAAATGTTCCTCACAAAATTTCACTATAAGTCACCAGCAAAACGCATTTTCTATTTTCATTATATATCAGGAAAATATTTGCATTAATGTTGCCAAGAAAAACGTGAATAGACCGGGTGAGATGAAAAAACTGCAATAACCTTCAGACTGCTGTCATTTCTAAGCCACTCGTCTGACAGCTGTTAAAATTATTCCAGGGACAGCTCATTATATTGTTTACAAGCGTACAAAAGCATTTTGGCGAGAATTTTCCAGAAAAAAAGTTATTCGTGATGGAATTCAGCCGTCATGGTGGGATTTCTTTATATTTGGCTGGAAAACTAGAAGTGGCCATCGTTAGAGCACTCCAGCATTTAAATGTGAATAAATCTTTTGTGTCTCGTACCATCGCTCGTTACCGTGATACTGGTAGCGTAGCCCGACGTCAGGGAAGTGGACGGAAGAAAACAGCAACATCATCAGAAATGTTTCGAAAAGTAAAAAAGCGACTTGATCGAAACCCGAGTCGCAGTGGCCGAACAATGGCTCGTGAGTTGAACATATCGTAATATTCCATTCGGCAAATATTAAAAAATGAGTTCGGGTTAAAGCCATTGAAATTCCAAAAACTGCAAGAACTTACACCGCAACGGAAAGAAAATAGACTCAAAAGAGACTCTAAAGAGTTGCTTCGTTTGGCCGAAAGTGGTGAACTGCCGAATTTGGGAAAAACAGCAACATCAGCAAAAATGGTTCGAAAAGTAAAGAAGCGACTTGATCGAAACCCCCGTCGCAGTGGCCGAAAAATTGCCTCGTGAGCTAAACATATCGCAATATTCCATTCGGCAAATACTGAAAAATGAGCTCGGGGTAAAGACATTGGAAATTCCAAAAAGTGCAAGAACTTACACCGCAACGGAAAGAAAATAGACTCCAAAGAGCTAAAAAGTTGCTTTGCTTGGCCAAAAGTGGTGAACTGCCAAATTTGGTTTTCTCCGATGAGAAAACATTCGTTGTCCAGCAGTTTGTAAACAAAGAAAATTATCGTGTTTACTTGCCAAATAGGTCAGCTAAAAATGTGCACCTTCGGTTGGCGACCAGAACTCAAGCGCCGGCCATGGTGATGGTGTGGACCGCCATAACAGCCGATGGCTGTTCTCCGCTCGTATTAATCGACCGTGGCATTAGAATAAATGCCGAATATTATAGCGAAAATACTCTGGAGAGAGTATTAAAGCCTTGGGCACGCAAACATTTTGGCCGCAGATCTTGGATATTCCAACAGGACTCAGCACCATCGCACTCAGCACGCGCCACCCAAGAATGTTTATAAAATGAGGTTCCTCGCTTCATTTCCAGTACACAATGGCCACCAACATATCCGGATATCAATCCGTTGGACCATTGTATCTGGAGTATTTTGGAAAGCAAGGTGTTGATCGTCTTAAGCAAGTGTTTCGTCGGGAATGGGCCAAAATACCGCAGAGCAACTTTGGGCCAACGTCTGACGGTTTCATTGGCCGTTTGAAGGCCATAATTAGTGCCAGAGGTGACTAATTCGAACAAATCTAAACTTATTCTAAAATTTGATGCTATTTCCGACTTTTTTGGTTTCATTTATAAAATTAAAAAAAAAACTAAAAATTATGGCGTTTGACTTTGTTGCAGTTTTTTATCTCACCCTGTAGTGTAATTTTATAAAAAATAATTTTGTAGAATATTTTGAAAAGTTATGACCCCGTTAAAAGGGAGGTTTTATTAATTTTTGAAAAAAAGATCAAAACTACCATTTTTGTGACTAGCACGAGAATTATAATTTTTTGACGAAAATAATTCTCGTTTTGTTCTCAGTAATATTGCAAAAGGCTCTGTATACCTAAAATGCAAGGATTCTAAGAAATCATTTTTGGTAAATTTCAAAATATGTTTAAAAAGGGCGAATTTTCTCCCTTAAATGTAGGTTACAAACCTTGGTGGCAAACCTTAAAAACGCCGGTATACGTATATTTTACCTTTTCCGCTACTTTCATAATCTACTTTGTTCTTCCTCCAATTATTTTTCTGTTCCACATTGCAACAGATCTTTACGGCCTAAAACCCAAATTCCTTAATCGTATTAATCTTTCAAAATTCCCCCTCGTTTTTTCATTTCAGCACCGATAAACCCTACGTCTATGTCTACAAGAGTGGTGAGGATGTGAAAACCTATTTCCCCGTCAACGATTCCCTGCAGCAGATTGCCGAAAGTCTACAGGCCAATATGGAAGTGAAACGTCCCTGGGAGACGTATATGAGTGAAGGTTTCGAACTTTTGCAACAGAAAACCGAAAGTGATTTCAATCGACCTGCCGCCAATTCGGATAAACTCTTCATGAGCATTGGCAACAATGAAGTCATTGAGGTATCCCACCCCATTGGCACGGACAATGTAGATGGCATACCAAAATCACGTTTACATTTGGGACCGATTGGTTCAGGGCGGGATTTGGTGCGTAACGATGATTTGCGTATACAATTTGCCAAGAAATATGGTCTACTGGCCACCGATTTGGAGATGAGCTCGGTGTTGGATAGTATTATTGGTAATTGCCGGGAGAGTTTCATATTGGTTAAGGGTAAGTAATGGGATATTAATAATTGTCATTAATAAAAGTCATTAATAATTGTTTTTTTTTTCTTTTTTTCTTTTTTTTTGTTTTAGGTATTTCTGATTACAAGGACGGCACCACAACCCGCAAATGGCAAAACTATGCCTCCTTGGCCGCTGCCTCGGTTGTGAAATCCATTATCTGTGGCATGGATGCTCCTACCAATGTTTAAGAATTTGTTTTAATTTTTTCTACAATATTTTTGTTTTTGTTTTTAAGCATTTTTAACTAAAACATAAGTCTTTGGACCTTACATAATTATAAAATTAAAAAAGAACGAAAATCAAATTTAGAATTAAGTAACGAAAATTTTGTGACATTTTTAATGTTTTTTTCATATTTCAAATCATAACCTATGATTTCTATGGGTTATGAAGTGCATTTTCTTAGTTTTTATTTTGAATTTCAAGATCAATGAAGTCCTAAATGTTCCCTAGTGATGTAAATGATTCCAGAGAACATTTGCGTATTTATTGATTTTTTAACCATTTTAAAATTTTTCTTTAATTTTTTTTTTTTTTGCCAATTTTGTTGTTAAGTTTTTTTTTTATAATTTGTTATTTTTATGTAGTTTTGTTTTAAACGAGTAAAATACAACATAACAATCTGTATTCATATATTTATGAATTTGAATCAAAGTATCAATCAACCAATCACATTTTTTATATAAATTAAATACAACAAACAATCAAATATTTATGTAAATAGTTTAATAGATTTTATACATTATATGCTTACTATATATTCTATGATATATCATTATTATAATATAAATTAAATTATTTTATATTGATTACTCTGCATAAAATAAAATTTATATTAGTAATGCAAAGTTAATGTATTATTTTATTTTAAAGTAATTAATCTAAAAAATACAGGGTGAGATGAAAAAAACTGGAATCAACTTAAGACTGCTGTCAAAATTATTCCAGAGGCAGCTCATTATATTGTTTACAAGCGTACAAAAGCATTATGGTGAGAATTCTCCAGAAAAAAAATTATTCGCGATGGAATTCAAGCGTGATAGTGTGATTTCTTAATATTTGGCTGGAAAACCACAAGTGGCTATCGTTAGAGCACTCCGTTTTTTTTGTCATATGCCCCTCTATGTATTTTTGCCGAATGTTGGTATTTGGAGTTCCTATTATGTAAAAATCATACTTACAAAATAATTTCCATATAGATCCACGTTTTAGTCAGGGGATAAAAATGTACTCCCAGCTTTCAGTTATTACGTGGTGTCTGGCCATAATGATAATGCAGTGTCATTTTAGCACTGCATTACCATATTATGTATATTTTATAGGAAATTTGTGAATCTTTATATTATATGCAGCATAGTTTAAGGAGTTGTGTTTTTATAAACCACTACCACTGAAGAATTCAAAATTAAAATCTTAAGGCATTTGATGTAGCTAAAATATGCTCATCGACCCTTCTCTGACAGAAACATTTCTATATAGGTCCATATTTTAATATGGTTCTGTATGGCTCCCGATATTCAGCATTTTGCCGATATTATCTACATTTTTCGTCGGAATTAATTGAAATTCGAAGTTTAAAATTCGTAATGGGTTCGACCTTCTGTAGCATAGGTTCACGTTCGATACAATTTTCGGGGTGCCCCACTTTAATGTTCTTCCCATTTTGTTACTCTCTGATTACATTCTATTTCAATGGTTCCGATTGTAAGTGTGAAGAGAATTATGCTCATCGGAGGCACGTGTGACTGAGTTTGCCTGGCCCTGCTCTAATATTGACCCTTACACATCATGCACATTCCGAAAACTAAAATACTTAATTTCGCTTATATTCCTGTACTCCAACTTAAACCATGACAATATTCAAATCCGAAACTTGAATAAAAAAAATCGGGGAGTAATGTCGCTAAAATCATCAAAATTCCGAATATAGGGAGGTACCGTTATATTGGGGCTATACGAAGACGTGGACCTGCACAGACAATTTCTGTCATATCAAATTTGAAATAATTCCGGTGAATAATGTCGCTAAAATCATTTAAATACCGAATATCGGGAGGTACGTTTACACGGGGGCTATATGAAGACGTGGACCTGTACAGACAATTTTCTGTCATAGGCTGTAGTACCCATTACGAACTTCAAATACCAAATTTGAAACAATTCCAGTGAATAATAATAATAAGTTCGGCCGGCCGAAATTTTAATACCCTCCACCATTTGAAAGGAATTTGAAAATTCCTAGAAATACCGTTTAAATGATGACCTTTATACGGGGGCTGTACGAAGACGCGGACCTGTGTACGTATTTTTTGTCTTAATCTGTAGTACCCATTTAGATCTTGAAATACGAAATTTGAAACAATTCCGTCAAATTATGTCGCCAAAATCATCAAAATACCGAATATCGGGTGCTACCTTTATATGGGGGCTATACGAAGACGTTGAACTGCACACCATTTATTTTTGCATTGGCTGCCATACCCATCACAAACTTTGAATACGAAATTTTAAACAATTCGGGTAAATAATATCTCTAAGATCATCAAAATACCGAATATCGCGAGGTGCCGTTATATGGGGGCTATAAGAAAACGTGGGCCGGCATGGCCCATTTACGAACTTAATCTGCCTACTGGCAAAATACACATGTGTATAGCATTTGGCCTGAAGATCTTCTTTTTGATCAGTTAAGAGCTTTTCTTCTGAAATATTTTTAAAATCCATCTTTAATATGAACAAAAAATTTTAATTCTTTTTATTTTAATCAATAAATCAGTTTTTATTTCTCTAAGTGTTGTTCCCCTTTGGAAGAGAATCACTTTTAAGAGAAATCAAAAATGGCAGCTACACCGGCAATGGTCTTTTATTTTCTGAAGAGACCGGCATTTTTATCAACATTTTTGTTGTATACAACAAATTTCGAAGACTTGTCGCTGATAAAACAAAATGTACACAAAATTAATTGTAAAAGAAATCAAAACATTCGTACTATCTATCTGTCTGGCTGCTACAAAAAAATAAAGATATTTCTCTGCGATAGAGGAACAAGAAAAACAAAATGTTAATTAAAAGGAAACTATGCTCGTTTTTGTTATTCTCTTGGGGGGAATTCGCATGTTCTTTCTCCCTCTCTCCAGACAGTCGGTATTCAAACAACACACAAACCCCACATACACTGACTGCTTAGCGGAAACCCCTTTCTTGATTGGAATTCTCATTCTCCCTCTCTCCCAGACAATCAGTGCTCAAACAACACACAAACCCCACATGCAATGGTAAAATCCCTTTCTTGATTGCTGAGATTGTGAGAACCGAGAGAATTGAGACAAGGCCGCAAAAAGCAGCAAGCAAAAAACAACAGCCATGGGGATGCGTGCATGAAGTAGGCAAATGTACCTGTGTGTGCGTGAGATGGAGCCAATAAAAGAAGACAATCTCCAAGAGTGAATTAGTCGTTTAGCAGCGGCCAATTCAGAAGGTTGTTCTGTTTCGTTCACGGTTTAACTAAGGAATATCCCAAAAGCCACGTGGGTTTTAAAATAAGTCACAAAAAACCGACAATTTTGTGTGTTATTTCAAAGTTTTTTTCAACACAACGTTTGTTTAAAACGCAATACAAATGTGAGTTGTAAGATAATTTAATATTTAAGTGATTTTTTGTTGGAAAGAAAAAAAAAAAACAAAAAATGTATTTTATAAGGATATCTAATTACACAAGTGGTTCCTCGTTGTGTGGACATTGGATTACACATGTGCACACACACACATGTGTTGTGCATATGTCCCCTTGTTACGTTTCTTTTAGTGGACAAGAATATTGTTGTAGTGTATTACGGAGTAAATGCCATCGAAATGTGTATTTGATTATATTGTAAGAAAGATTTAACGAAAATCTTGCGGATTTTCTAGATTAATTCGAATCGAATCGAAATTGGATCAAGTACCGTCCACCACCAAACGTTGAAGTTACTTTCTTTATGACGTCGTCGCAAGTCCAGACGGTCGGCGAACACGAACGAATAAATCTTTGTTGTCTGTTATGCTAATTAAAAGCCTCCAGGCAATTTTGTTGTGTTCGCAAGTGTTGTTGTTTTATTTTTGCGAACCGGTTCTCCTACGGCGTGTATCCCTCGACCAGCAGTACAGTATTCATGTGTATTTACAGCTGTGATTGGGTATGTGTACAGATGTGTGTCTGGTGAATCTGGTAGTAGAAGTCGGAAAGAATCAAAACACACACAAAATAATCAAAACATATGTTTTTGGTTAAATGTAATATAAGTAATAAAAATAATAAAAGTGAATAAATAATGTAAATAAATTAGAATTATAATAACAATAAACGTGATAACAATAATAATGAAAATAAAAATTAATAATAATAATAATAATATAATAACAATAACAAGAAGTTAAAAAAACAGTAAATTCGGCCGGGCCAAACTTTGAATACCCTCCACCATTTGGAAAGAATTTGGAAATTTTCAAAAAATAAAGTCCTTAAAAATTTCTGTTAAAATTTAAAAATACCGAATATAGCCGTTATATTGGGGTCTATACGACGTGGACCTACATAGGCCTTGTTTGTCATAAGCCATTACCATATTCAAATTCGAAACTTGAAATAAACGGTAAATAATGTAGCTAAAATCATCAAAATATAGTATATAGGGAGGTACCGTTATATCGAAGCTGTGCGAAGACCTGGACCAGCATAGACAATTTTCTGTCACAGGCTATAGCATCCATTATGAACGTCAAATACGACATCTCAAAAAATGTGGGTGGGTATTGTACCTACCGAATATAGGTAGGTACTGATATATGGGGCCTATACGAAGACCTATACCTGCATAGACAATTTTCTGTCACAGACTGTAGTTTCCATTACGAACTCTAAATACGTAATTTGAAACAATTCCCTTAAATAATGACGCTAAAATCATCAAAATACCGAATTTTGGGAGGTACCGTTGTATGGGGGCTATACGAAGACGTGGACCTGTACAGACAATTTTCTGTGTTAGGCTGTAGTATCCATTTCAAACTTCAAATACTAAGTTTGAAACAATTCCGATGAATAATGTCGCTAAAATCATCAAAATACCGAATATCGGGAGGTACCGTTGCATGGGGGCTATACGAAGACGTGGACCTGCGCAGATAACTTTCTGTCTTAGGCTGTAGTATCCATTTCGAACGTCAAATACCAAAGTTGAAACAATTCCGGTTAATAATGTCGCTAAAATCATCAAAATACCGAATATCGGGATGTACTTATATATGGGGGCTATATGAAAACGTGGACCTACATGGCCCATTTACGAACTTAACCTGCCTACTGGAAAAATAAACACGTATGCAAAATTTTAGCCTTCTATCTCAATTCGTTCGAAAGATAGCGTGATTACAACAGACAGACAGACGGACATGGAACCTCATTTTGTAACCATTCTTGGGTGGGGCGTGCTGAGTGCGATGGTGCAGAGTCCTGTTGGAATGTCCAAGGTCTGCAGCCAGAATGTTTTCGTGTCCAAGTCTTTAATACACCCTCCGGAATATTTTCGCGATGATATTGGGCATTTATTCTGATGCCACGGTCGATTAATACGAGCGGAGAGCCATCGGCTGTTATGGCGGCCCACACCATCACCATGATCGCCGCTTGAGTTCTGGTGGCCAACCGAAGGTGCACGATAGTCACTTGTGGGTTTCCAGCCAATTATAAAGAAATCACGCTTGAGTTCCATTACAAATAACTTTTTTTTTCTGGAAAATGCTCACCAAAATGCTTTTGTACCCTTGTAAACAATATAATGAGCTATCACTGGAATAATTTTACCAACTGTCGGACGGGTGGCTTTGAAATGACAGCAGTCTGAAGTTGGTTGCAGTTTTTCATATATTACTTTTCGACAATTTAGCTCTAATATTTTCAGAAACATTGGAATATGTGAAATTTGATTCTGATATAGATTTAACACTTAACGAAACTTTCTATTATTCTGGCGGACCGACTCCCCTTTTAATCGCAAGTTTCTTTGTGTAAACTTGGAGCACATGTATCAAATGCAAACATTCGCCGGCAAAAATCATTCTTATCAGTCCCAATGAATATACGATTCACACCTTTAATTTAATTGCAATTACATACTCGTATCTAGCAACATGGGTTCATATCACGTCGTCTCTTTCATTCTTGGTATCTCACTCATTCCTGGTATCTGTTTGAACAATAAATCCATCAATTTGCACAATAATATTTTTCGTTTGTTGTGCCCCATAGTGAATTTTATTGTTGTCTTCATTCATGTGTGTACGTACATATGTATGTATGTTTGTGTATATAAATATCGGCTAAAAACGTGATTAGATTTTTCTGATAGACATTTCCAAAAAAAAGCTAATTTTAATAAGTGTCTGGCTGTTTATCTGGACATAAAAGCGAAATTAACATTATGTTAATTTTTTTTTGATTAACATACACAGGCACACATAAAACATTAATGTCGTTCTTACGACAAACAGAAACGTAAATTTCACATCCATTTGGAAGTTCTACGAGTATTTTAAGTTTTGTAATAAAAATAGATTTAGAAATAAATAAATAGATATTTTTTAAGAAACGGAATAAGTTTTTAATATAAAAACGACGTTTTACACTTAATAAACCTAACGTAAATACACTAAATTTTTTTGTTAAAAGAGTAATATAAATGACATATGTTCAATTCTGTGGCTAAACAGATAACATTAATAAACAAATATTACACGAGGGTTACTATAGCTTATATTGACAGTAGCATACAGAGTGAGATGAAAAAACAGCAACCAAATTCAGACTGCTGTCATTTCTGAGCCACTCGTCCGACAGCTGTTAAAATTATTCCAGTGACAGCTCATTATATTGTTTACAAGTGTACCAAAGCATTTTGGTGAGAATTTTCCAGAAATAAAGTTATTCGTGATGGAATTCAAGCGTGATAGTGTGATTTCTTTATAATTGCCTGGAAAATCACAAGTGGCTATCGTTAAAGCACTCCAACCTGTAAATGTGAATAAATTATTTGTGTCTCGTACCATTGCTCGTTACCGTGATACTGGTAGCGTTGCCCGACATATGTCAAGGAAGTGGACGCAACGAAAACAGCAGCAACATCAGCAGAATTGGTTCGAAAATTAAAGAAGCGACTTGATCGAAACCCGCGTGGCAGTGACCGAAAAATGGCTCGTGAGCTGAACATATCGAAATATTCCATTCGGCAAATATTGAAAAATTAGCTCGAGGTAAAGCCATTGAAATTCCAAAAAGTGCAGGAACTTACACCGCAACCAAAAGAAAATAGACTCAAAAGAGCTAAAGAGTTGCTTTGTTTGGCCGAAAGTGGTTCTCGCTCCGATGAGAAAACATTCGTTGTCCAGCAGTTTGTAAACAAACAAAATGATCGTGTTTACTTGCCAAAGAGGTCAGCTGAAAATGTGCACCTTCGGTTGGCCACCAGAACTCAAATGCCGGCCATGGTGATGGTGTGGGCCGCCATAACAGCCGATGGTCGCTCTCCGCTCGTATTAATCAAATGTGTCATCAGAATAAATGACCAATATTATCGCGAAAATATTCTGGAGGGTGTATTAAAGCCTTGGGCACGCAAACATTTTGGCCGTAGACCTTGAACATTCAAATAGGACTTAGCACCATCGCACTCAGCACGCGTCACCCAAGAATGATTACAAAATGAGGTTCCTCGCTTCATTTCCAGCGCACAATGGCCACCAAAATCTCCGGATACCAATCCTTTGGACTATTGTGTCTGGAGTATTTTGGAAAGCAAGGTTGGCACTAAAAAATACCAAGTATCGATCACCTCAAGCAAGCGCCCGGCTGGGAATGGGCCAAAATACAGCAGAGCAACATTCGGGTAGATTGTGAAGGTTCCATTAGCCGTTTGAAGACCATAATTCGTGCCAAAAGTGACCAATTCGCCCAAATCTAAACTTATTCTAAAATTTGATGCTATTTCCGACATTTTTTGCTTTCATTCAATAAAATTTAAAAAAATGAAAAAAAATATGGCGTTTGACTTTGTTGCTGTTTTTTTTTTTTATCTCACCCTGTATATATATTTTACTGCCCAGAAAGAGGAAGGATATAACAATTTTGCTCCATCACAATATTTTTATTAACCCAAGGTCTGCTGTGAAGATTGGATATATCGGTCCACTCCTTCTGATACCTCTCCAAAAAATGGTCTAAATTTTAAATATCCGTGAAGCTCATAAAACGCGACATTAATATTCGATTCCATTCAGACTTTGTACATCTCAATTTTTCCTTCAACACAATATCTGATATAAAGATTTTAGAGATCGGACAATTTCTTTTGATTCATCCCCCACATAGGGTTCTAAATTTTGGAAAACAAAACGTTCAAAGAAACGGAAATAAGCATCCAACTCTCTTCAAATTTCACACATATAAATATTTTAGCTAACACATGATTTGTTGTCAAGACGAACCCCTACTGGTACCTGACCCACAAAGGGTCAAAATTTCCAATACCAGAAACCTGATAGGAATATAGAATTTACCGGAATTTATAATTTTGCATAAAATTGGACATTAATGTTCGATTACCTTCAAATTTTGCAAATTACCTTCACATTTTGCTGTATTAGTTGAAGTATGAAAATGGTTCGCTATATCTGCTACCTCACGCATATTTCCACAATTTCCAAAAATGTGCAAGTATCTCATATAAAGTTTAGGAAGTAGTCGATATAGTGCAAATCTGGCACGTTGTAATATTTTTATCACTCTTAGGTCAGATAAAGGATCAACTGTTCGAATAAGCGTAACTCAGGACTGGGGGTATAAATCTGCCGGCAAAACCGACTGATACCTTTTTACTTGTTTATGTAAAAAATAACAAAATTAGTTTGTTCTATTGTTTTTCTATGGAAATCTGTGTATAAATACACAACAGCTTTGTTAAAATCAGTACCGTCAGTACTGTTATACACATATTTATAACAGTTTCCCTTAATGTTATTTACTGTTATACAAACACGTTTCTAACAATTTTCTTCTTATTTCCATTTATTACAGTTAATTTCCACATATTCCAGTAAAAAACACAGCCGAAAACAACAACAGCAACATGTCAACACCCAACTGCTATTTAGTCCTTGAAGACTCCACTGTCTTGCCGGGTCAATACTTTGGCGCCAAGGCGCCCGTTGATGGTGAAGTTGTATTTCAAACTGGTATGGTCGGTTATCCCGAATCGATGACGGATCGTTCATATCGTGCACAAATATTGGTCCTCACCTATCCGCTGATTGGTAATTATGGTGTACCGGACTTCAATGAAAAGGATGAACATGGCTTGCCAAAACATTTCGAATGGTTGGAGGGTATTTCCATTGCTGCCCTGGTTGTGGGTGAGGTGTGTGAGCAGCCTTCCCATTGGCGTGCCAAAGAAACTCTCTCCAAATGGATGGAATCTCATGGTGTACCCGGTATCAGTGGCATTGACACTCGAGCCTTGACCAAGAAGATTCGGGAAAATGGTTCCATTTTGGGACGTATTGTTTATGAGTATCCAGAAAATGTCAAGGAATTGCAGTTTTCCGATCCCAATAGCCGCAACTTGGTTGCAGAGTGTTCGGTGAAGAAAACTATGGTTTTCAATGAGGGTGGCTCGCCCCGCATTTGTGCCATTGATTGTGGTTTGAAATTGAATCAAATCAAATGTTTTGTGAGTCGGGGTGCTCGTGTGGAATTGGTGCCATGGAATCATGATTTGGATGAGCCGACCTTTGATGGTCTCTTCATTTCCAATGGACCCGGTGATCCAGTGGTGTGCAAGGATACGGTTACACAAGTTCGAAAGATTTTAAAATCCGGCAAGAAACCCATTTTTGGTATTTGCCTGGGTCATCAATTGCTCTCGACGGCCATTGGCTGTAAGACCTACAAAATGAAATATGGCAACAGAGGTCACAATTTGCCATGTATCCATCATGGCACCGGACGCTGCTTTATGACTTCTCAAAATCATGGTTTTGCTGTGGACACTGAGACCTTGCCTGCGGACTGGGAGCCATTGTTTACCAATGCCAATGACAATACCAATGAGGGTGAGTAAAGGTGCATTCGTTTTAGATTGCTTGTCATTAACGTTTTCTTTTCCCTTTTTCCAGGTATTATCCACAAAGAAAAGCCCTATTTCTCGGTACAATTCCATCCAGAACACACTGCCGGTCCCGAAGATTTGGAATTGTTATTTGATGTCTTCCTGGATGCGGTAAAATCTCAGGGAACTGCCACCATCAGTTTACGCCAACAGCTGATACAACGTCTCATGTACACACCCAAACCAGAATCTCTACTGGAAAAGAGACCACGCAAGGTCTTGATTTTGGGATCAGGCGGTCTCTCCATTGGCCAGGCCGGAGAATTTGATTATTCCGGTTCGCAGGCCATTAAGGCCATGAAAGAGGAGAAAATCCAAACGGTTTTAATTAATCCCAACATTGCCACCGTGCAGACATCCAAAGGCTTGGCAGACAAATGTTATTTCCTTCCCCTGACGCCGGAATATGTGGAGGATGTCATCAAGGCTGAGAGGCCCAATGGAGTCCTCTTGACATTTGGTGGCCAAACCGCACTGAATTGTGGCGTGGAGCTGGAAAGATCAGGGGTATTTGAAAAATACAATGTCAAGATTTTGGGTACACCAATCAAGTCGATTATTGAAACAGAGGATCGCAAAATCTTTGCCGAGCGTGTGAATGAAATCGGAGAAAAAGTGGCTCCCTCAGAGGCTGTATACTCCGTCGAAGAAGCTTTAATGGCTGCCAAGCGAATTGGTTATCCCGTTATGGCTCGTGCTGCCTTCTCTTTGGGTGGCCTGGGTTCGGGTTTCGCCGACAACGAAGAAGAGCTGGAAACATTGGCAAAACATGCCTTGGCCCATTCCAGCCAATTGATTATTGACAAGTCGCTGAAGGGTTGGAAGGAAGTGGAATACGAAGTGGTGCGTGATGCCTTTGATAACTGCATCACAGTGTGTAATATGGAAAATTTGGATCCTTTGGGTATCCACACGGGCGAAAGTATTGTGGTAGCCCCTTCGCAGACCCTGAACAACAAGGAATACAATATGTTAAGAAGCACAGCCTTGAAGGTTATTCGCCATTTCGGTGTGGTGGGTGAATGTAATATACAATATGCCCTGAATCCTTACTCTGAGGAGTATTACATCATTGAAGTCAATGCTCGTCTCTCGCGTAGTTCTGCCTTGGCCAGTAAGGCCACCGGTTATCCTTTGGCTTATGTGGCTGCCAAGTTGTCTTTGGGTGTGGCCTTGCCTTCCATTAAAAATTCGGTAACCGGTGTGACCACAGCCTGCTTTGAACCCTCTCTGGATTATTGTGTGGTGAAAATACCCCGTTGGGATTTGGCCAAATTCATAAGGGTTAGCAAAAACATTGGCAGCTCAATGAAGAGTGTGGGTGAGGTAATGGCCATTGGTCGCAATTTTGAAGAGGCCTTCCAGAAGGCATTGCGTATGGTGGATAATGCTGTGACCGGATTCGATCCCTATCTGCAAAAGGTCAACAATGATGAGTTGAAGGAACCGACCGATAAACGGCCATTCGTTCTGGCAGCTGCCCTGAAGGCTAACTACACTGTGGATGAACTGCATTCCCTGACCAAGATTGATCGTTGGTTCTTGAATAAAATGAAGAACATCATTGAATTCTACAAGGAAGTGGAGGAGTCGGGCAGCTCGCTTAGCAACGATCAGTTGTTGCATGCCAAGCGCATGGGCTTCTCCGACAAACAACTGGCCGAGGCCATCAAAGTCACCGAATTGGCCATAAGACAACAGAGAAAGGAGGCTGGCATCATACCCTATGTCAAGCAAATCGATACCGTGGCCGGAGAATGGCCAGCAGCCACAAATTATTTGTATCTAACCTACAATGCCTCGGAGTATGACATTGAGTTCCCCGGTGGTTATACCATTGTGGTGGGTTCGGGTGTCTATCGCATTGGCTCCTCCGTGGAATTCGATTGGTGTGCCGTAGGCTGTCTACGAGAGTTGCGCAATTTGGGCAAATCCACCATTATGATCAACTACAATCCCGAAACCGTATCCACCGATTACGATATGTGTGATCGTTTGTATTTTGAAGAAATCACATTTGAGGTGGTTATGGATATCTATGAACTGGAACATTCCGAGGGCATTATACTCTCCATGGGTGGTCAGCTGCCTAACAACATTGCCATGGATTTACATCGTCAACAGGCCAAGGTATTGGGTACCTCACCCGAATCCATTGACTCGGCCGAAAATCGTTTCAAATTCTCGCGTATGTTGGATCGCAAGGGTATTCTGCAGCCACGTTGGAAGGAATTGATAAACCACGAAAGTGCCATACAATTTTGCCACGAAGTGGGCTATCCATGTTTGGTTCGACCCTCTTATGTTCTCTCCGGTGCTGCCATGAATGTGGCCTATTCCGATCAAGATTTGATGACATATCTCACAGCTGCTTCCCAGGTTAGCAAAGAACATCCGGTGGTCATATCGAAATTCTTGCAAGAAGCCAAGGAAATCGATGTTGATGCTGTGGCAGCGGATGGTGAAATTTTGTGTATGGCTGTGTCGGAACATGTGGAGAATGCTGGTGTCCATTCGGGTGATGCCACCTTGGTGACGCCCCCACAAGATTTGAATGCCGAAACATTGGAGAACATAAAACGCATTACCCGCGATGTCGCCGGCCTCTTGGATGTCACCGGCCCCTTCAACATGCAAATCATTGCCAAGAACAACGAACTCAAGGTCATTGAATGCAATGTCCGTGTCTCACGTTCCTTCCCATTTGTATCGAAAACTCTAAATCACGATTTCGTGGCCACCGCCACCAGAGCCATTGTGGGCCTGCCCGTTGAACCTGTGGAAGTTTTACATGGTGTCGGCAAAGTTGGTGTCAAGGTGCCACAATTCAGTTTCTCACGTCTGGCCGGTGCCGATGTCCAGTTGGGTGTGGAAATGTCCTCAACCGGTGAGGTGGCTTGCTTTGGTGACAATCGTTATGAGGCCTATTTAAAGGGTATGATGTCAACGGGTTTCCAAATTCCTAAAAAGGCCATATTGTTGTCGATTGGAAGTTTTAAGGTTAGTCAAATGGCATTATTGAAGGGGAAAGAGAAAAATTAATTAATTTTTTTTTTTTTACAGCACAAAATGGAACTTTTACCCTCCATCAGAGATTTGGCTAAAATGGGTTATAAGCTATATGCTTCAATGGGTACCGGAGATTTCTATGTGGAACATGGTGTTAATGTGAGTACGAAAAATATATATTTTTATTATTTTTTCCAATCGTCAATTCTCAATGAACTGAGAACCGATTTTTTTAACGTTTTCTGTATTGGAAAATATTCTAGGGGACTAAGGTCTTTCTTTTATAAAAGAAAATCCTTAGCAAATTGGGGTCTGATTTCTCATAGAAGAAAGAGAAAAGAAAAATCGGTCCCCAGGTCTTTGCATTTATTTAATAAAAAATTGGTGCTCGAGACATTTTTTTTTCTATCGAAAAAATGGGTCCTCAGCTTAGGATTTTTTTCTATAAAAAAAACAGCCACACCTCTGAGAGAGGTGAATTTTTTTGTTTAAAAAATAATCTGTCCTATGACCAGGCGAATTTTTTATCTAATAAAAAAATCGGCGACCTGTAGAGGAACATTTGTTTCTATACAAAAATTTGGGTCCTCTGCGGGGAGATTTTTTTTACCCTCAGCCATGTGGCTACAGAGGATATATACCATTTAATACGACCAAAACGTGACTCATCGAAATAACGGTTGTAGACCCTAGGTGTCTTTGGACAAATCCCTTTCTGGATATTTGGAGTCGATCTAAGGATGTCCGTCCGTTTGTCTGTCTGCTTGTCTATCTATGTGTCTGGTTAACAGGTGCGCACTATAACTCTCGAAGAAAGTATCCGATCGCAATATTATTATCTAACTTATATTGAGTTCTAATATCGGTCCTCTCCTTCTGGTTTCTCTTCCACAAAAAAATAAAACAATTATGTGCAAATTTTGCAAATCCTAATATTTTTATCAGTGCTAGGTCAGGTGCGAAATGAACAATATCGGCTCTCTGCGTCAAGAACCTCCACAAAGCGTCAAAATGTTGAATATTTATAACTCTTATAAAGTGTGATATAAGAGTCCGATTGTCTTCAAATTTCACACATGTCAACATGTCTATCAATTCAAGATCTGGTATGATTGACGGAGAGAACGGACCACTATTTCTGGTACCTTCCCCACTACGGGTCAAAATTTTGAATAACCATGAAACTCATAAAATGCGAACTCAGCATCCGACTACTTTCAAACTCGGTCCATTACAATATTTCTTTCAACACAAGATTTGGTGTGAAGATGGAATATATAGACCCATTCCTTCTGGTACCTCTCCCACAACGGATAAAAATTTTGAATAATTACATCTCTCACAGAATGTGAAATAAGCATTTGATTCTCTTCAAATTTCACAGATCTCAATATTTTTTCCAACACAAGACGTGGGATGAAGATGGTAGATATCGGTCCACTCCATCTGGTACCTCCCCACAAGTGATCAACAGTTCATAAATCGCGAAATAAGGATCCGATTACTTTCTAACCTCCATACATCCGAATATTTCTATCGACACACGAGCAGGCGTGAAGATAGAATATATCGGTCAACTCCTACTGCTACCTCCCCCACAACGGGTCAAAATTTTGAATAACCATAAAGCTTATAAAACGCAAAATTAACATCCAATACCATTCAGACTTGGCACATCTCAATATTTCTATCAGCACAAGATCTGTTATAAAGATGGCAGAGATCGGACTATTTCTTCTGGTACCTCCCCCATTCGGGTTAATGATTTTTAAAAACAAAACGCTAAAAAGAAAAACGAAATAAGCATCCGACTCTCTTCAAATATCACACGTACAAACGTTTTTGCTAACACAAGATCTGTTGTGAAGATGATATATACCTGCGGTCCCCTTCTGGTTGCTCAAACACAAAGGGTCAACATTTTCAATTCTTTTATCCGTCCTGACTTGGGAAACAAACCAGCGATTTTTCACAACTAAATATTTCTCTCAACCGGAAACGTGGTGTGAATATTGAATCTATGATTTCGAATAAAATTGGATATAAATGTTCGATTCTCTTGTTATTTGCAGGGAGCTTTCGGTTAGTACTTTATCCCCTGAAAGAGAATTGCCCTCATACAATGGTGCCCCCACGATATTCTGTCTTTTAATGATTTTAACCACATTCAATGGTATTGTCTGAAAATCCACAGTACTTGACCCCCTGCAGGAGAATTGTCTACATAGGTCTACGTTTAAAATAGCATCCACATTATGCTACCCCGAGATATTTGATATTTCCAGGATTTCCACGGCATTATTCACCGAAATTATGTCAAATCTCGTATTTGAAGTTCGTAATGAGTACTACAATCTGTGACGGAAAATTGTCTATGCAGGTCCACGTCTTAGTATAGCCCCTATATAATGGTACCACCATTTATTCGGTATTATTAGCGACATTATTCACCGAAATTGTTTCGAATCTCGTATTCGAAGTTCAGAATCGTTACTAGAGCCTATGACAGAAAATTTCTTATCCAGCGCCACGTCTTCGTATAGCCCCTATATAAAGGTTTTTAGTTGAGCGGTATTTTTCGACGGATTTTTTTTTAATTTTCAAGTTCCTTTCAAATGGTGGAGGGTATAAAAAGTTCGGCTCGGCTTTTTTACTTGTTTCTAACCGATGTTATTAAATAAAAGCCATTTTTTTGTGTTGTTGTTTTTAAATCACATTTTATTCTTTTGCTACTACTAACTTTCTGAGGACTGATTGAAAACACCTTTAAGTTGCAGTGTTTTGCGTTTCAGCATATCACGTATTTGAGCTTTCTTCTCTTCATTGGATAAGTGTTGTATGAGTTTATCGGTATTCTGCGATAGGTTTTGATAGAGTTCAGTATTTCCCAGCGGTGAAGATTTAATGAAATTCGAGGAACTTTTCATGAGTGAGGGAAAGAATTTTGTCGATGACGATTCCTTAGCCGATTCACCAGGTAAATCGTTTACAGTTGGTGTATCTAATGCGTCCATGCTTTCGTTATCTTTATCTTCATTGTAGTCTTCTTCATCCTCTTGACTTTCTCTTCGTTCCGCTTTGGATCTTAAAATACTAACCGGGCTATAGCATTCAGGTTTTTGTATTGGATTCATATCACCCTCCTGGACTTTGATGACAACATTGTGGAATTTTATGGATTTTCGTGGAGTTTCAGGGGGTCTCGTGGCGGGTATGATGGGTTCATCCGTAAAACTTTCATTGTCCAGCTGGAGTTGTATGCAAGGTGGACCTACTTCATTTTCTTGTGGTTGCTCCCGCTCCACCATTTCTTCGTATAAATTATAGGGTTGTATTTCCTTTTCATTGCGAATGGCTGTGTCGATTTTTTCCTTGAAGTCGTTATTGCCTGATAATATTGGGGGTATGGAAGTTGCCTCTATACTAATGCGTACCGGCAGTATGGGCGGTGTTATCCCCGGAAAATCTTCCTTATCCGCCAAGATTTGTAGCTCCTCATCGAGACTTTGTATTTTATGAAGATATTCCTTGGCTCCAATATCACAGCCATAGTTGTGATAGAATTTACAAAGGCGTCGTGCCTGTGAGAGGTAGGTTCTGGTTATTGACACCGATTGAAATTCCAATGCCTTGGTGGACATGGCTATCAAATGATCTAGGACAATTTCCAATATATTTGTTCGTCTCAAATTTTCAACACCCTGGTTGAGCTGTCTCGCATTGGCATTGTTCAGGTCCTTTTTGAAGAAGAACTGGAAGGAGAAAAAGGGAATTTTTAACCGTAGGAACTGGATAGGTATTAGATACTTAGAAATATAAAAATAAGTTGTCTTAACCCTTTAAACCTAGGAGACCCTCAAAGAAAATTTTCAAAGTTCTTAATGATCGCTCAATGAGAAAAAATTGTACCATGTGGTACTTTTCGCACCTGTGAAGTACGAAATCCCAACTTTTCTCACCCCTCTAAACCCTAAATCGATTCAATGCGAAATTTCAAAATTCTACCTCCGCCCATAGATTCACAACAATTTGGGTGTACTACTTTTAGTACTTTAGTGTCTTAACCCTCTAAACCGAGAACATCCCTCATGGAAATCTTCAAGTTCTTTATCTTGTGGTACTTCTCGTGACCGTGTAGTACGAGATCCAGCCTTTTCTCACCTCTCTAAACCAAAAATCGATTCCATGCAAAATTTTCAAAGTTCTACCTTCGCCGATTGCTTCACAATAATTTTGGTAGATTATTTTTAGTAATTCTGGTACCCTTAAAGTACGAATTTGCAAAAATCAAGCCATACTTCACCCTATCCCACAATCAGATGCCCTAATTTCAGATTTTAAAATTCTAGCTCTTCGCGATCACTTAATAAAAATGTTGTATTATTTTGTACCACAATTTCCTTCCTACCTAACCCATAACATCTGGTCGTTGAAGAGTCAGTCACTCTATTTCTTGACCCTCTCATCAATTTCACCTTGCTTCATAGAGGGTCCTTAAGGTCGGAGGAAACATATATTCATTTATTAAAAAATTCAAATCCTCTTACCTCAACATCAATGGATTCCACCGATCTCCGTCTGGCCACCATTTCCTGTTTCTTCAGCTCCATATTATGCCTCAGCAGTTGGGTCTTCCGTCTCAGTTTGCCATTGGTGCGGACATGATGCTGTTTCATGCCCAGCAGACCTTTGGCCCCCTCGTCGGGCATCAAACAGGCATCCTCCTCATCGGCCTGTGACAAATCCATCAACGAACGGGCATTCTTGGCCAACAATTTCAATTTTAACATATCATTCTCGACGAGATTTTCAAAAAGTTTCTTAAAATTTAATTTTGGAAAATAGTTTTCGGAAAATTCCAAATTCCGAAAAGAGATCATCAGGTGCATCAAAGGATTTGCCGTGATATCGGCCAATATGGTATACAGGGTGTTGAGAGAGTATTCCGGGATACTTTCAAAGAGATTACGTTCTCTTATAAAATAGTCACTCAAATGCTTGGCCCGCACCCGTTGCTTAAATGAGTCAATAAAACGCAGCAGAACCTCACCCAAAAACTCCTCCGGCCAGGCATTGTAGTCCTTTTCACATTCCCAAAAGAGATGGGATCTCAGGTGGTCTAGGGCAAACATTAGAGATTTATTTTTCTCCATTGGCTCAACGAAACTCTTCAGCAGAGCCTTGGTAATCATGTAGACCTTGATTTGAGTATTGGTCAAATGTTGTTCCAAATAACGTTCGGCTTTGGGAAATACGATACGCCATTCAATATCACGAAAGGGATTACGTTTCTTTTTCGGTGCATAGCCGAGGGGGATGACATGGAAACCAAAAGTTTCGATACGTTTGATCATGGCTCGTGTGGGCCACTGGATTTGTTGGCCCGTCTGGGGATTGGTGGAGAGAGGACGATCTCTCAAACGAAACTCAAAGGCACATTTGGGCCACTCGTTGACATTTTGGGCCACATAAATGGCGGGTATCACCTCATAGCGATTGGTGTAAATGGAGCTGCCCCTAAATGTGGCCATGTCCAGCTCATTGTCATCTATTTGCAATTGTTGTGCCAATTTTTTGCGCATCAGTTCTCCGAAATATCTCATGAACTCTCGGGAATTTAAATAGTTTTGGGCCAATAACTTCCTCCGCTTTTCCAGTTCCAGGCGATACTGTTTTATGGCCTGCAGAGTATCATAGTCCCGGTAATCCTGTCTTTCATCCTCCTCCTCATCATCACTCCCCTCCGTTTCACTTTCCTCCTCATCATCGGTAAACTCATCCTCCTGCAGGGGCTGGACAAAGTTACCCAACGACGAAATACAAGAGTCGGGTAAAACCTTTGAATCCACTTTCAGGCGATCCCGATCCTTGGGCATTTTCAGTTCCTTCAAAGGATGTTGAGTATTGAGGTGGGTTATGAAAGCATAATCATAATCATTTTCCGGATCTCGCTGGGAACCCAGGACATTTAACACCGTCTTACTGCCATAGGGACTGGTTGTACCATAACCCGAACTACCTTCACTGTAAATATCGTCATCATGATGACTCAAAGATTTCCCAGAATTTTTTGGATCCTCTCTCAACCGAAGACGCACATAACCTTTCCACTTGATATCGCTTAACATCTTGGCATAATCTTCCTTGCACGGGGTGGTCTCCCGAAAATCCATTTCCATATCAACCTTGCAAAGAGGGGAGATGGAATCGTAATTCGCATCATTTGGACGAGCTATGTCGATGTTTTCAAAGACCGTGTAAATGGTTTGGGTTTGTAGCAGCTGGGAATTGTGTTTATCTGGGCCGTGACTAGAAGGGGGAGAGAAACATATGTTAGGAAGTAGTTTCATTTTAAGAAAAGATTTTATCCTACACTGGTTTATATTTGATCCACTTTGCAACGGCAACATCCAGGGGATTTGTCAGCAGTATTGAATGCTCTTCCAAATTTTGATTCAACTCCTTTTCTTTGGACAACAAATCTTCGGTGATGTTGGAAAGTTCGCTGGAAAAAATGGAAGATGTAAATAAATATATGAAGTATGCCCTTGTATTTATTTTCTTGGAAAATCCAAATTTTGTGGCTTTGTTGGTCCTTTAGGTCGACCCTGATTTTTTTAGATTCTTTAGAAAATCTGTGCTCTTCAAAAAATCAACTTTCTGTTGAACGTTCTGTTACGTTGATCCTCGAACAAATTTTCTTTAGAACATCCAACATTTATTTATGCTTGATTTTTTTTTCTTTAAAATCTCCAAGTTCTGTATATCCTTCCCATTATTTTCGTTAGAAAATGTACGTTCTGTAGATTCTTAAAAGTGGTTTCTTTAAAAATCCACGATTTATCGATTCTTGAAACTTGTTTCTTTAAAATTTCCAAGTTTTTTATATCCTTGACATTATTTTCTTTAAAAAATTTACGTTCTGTAGATCGCTATAAAATGTCTTCTTCAGAAAAACCACCGTTTAGCGATCCTTGAAAGTTGTTTCTTTAAAATCTTCAAGTTCTGTAGATCCCTGTAATTATTTTCCTTGAAACTTTTTTCTTTAGAAAATTTACTTTCTTTGAAAATTATTTTTTTAGGAAATCCACGTTCAGTAGATCTTTGAAAATTATTTTTTTAGGAAATCCAGATTCTGCAGATTCCTGAAAATTATTTTTTAGAAAATCCACGTTCTGTAGATTTTTGAAAAATTTTTTAGGAAATCCAGGTTTTGCAGATCCTTGAAAATTATTTTTTAGAAAATCCACATTCTGTAGATCCTTGAAAATTATTTTTTTTTAGAAAATCCACGTTCTGCAGATCTTTGAATATTATTTTTTTTAGGAAATCCACATTCTGTAGATCCATGAAAATTATTTTTTTTTAGAAAAATCCACGTTCTGCAGATCCTTCAAAATTATTTTTTTAAAAAATCCACGTTCTGTAGATCTTTGAAAATTATTTTTTTTAGGAAATCCACGTTCTGTAGATCCTTGAAAATTTTTTTAGGAAATTCAGGTTCTTTAGATTCTGAAAATTATTTTTTTGAAAATCCACGTTCTGCAGGTCTTTGAAAATAATTTTTTTTAGTAAATCAACGTTCTGTAGATCCTTGAAAATTATTTCATTAAAAAATACACGTTCTGCAGATCCTTGAATTTTTTTAGAAAATCCACGTTCTGCAGATCCTTGAAAATTATTTTTTTTTTTTAGAAAATCCACGTTCTGCATATCTTTGAAAATTATTTTTTTGAAGATCCAGGTTCTTCAGATCCTTGAAAATTATTTTTAGAAAATCCACATTCTGCAGATCCCTGAAAATGATTTCTTTTAGAAAATCCATGTTCTTCAGATCTTTGAAAATTATTATTTTGAAGATCCAGGTTCTTCAGATCCTTGAAAATTATTTTTAGAAAATCCACATTCTGCAGATCCCTGAAAATGATTTCTTTTAGAAAATCCATGTTCTTCAGATCCTTGAAAATTATTTTTTTCGAAATCCAGTTGCTGCATATCTTTGAATATTATTTTTTTAGGAAATCCACATTCTGTAGATCCTTGAAAATTATTTTTTTTGAAAATCTGTAGTTTGCAGATCCTTGAAAATTATTTTTTTTGAAAATCTGTAGTTTGCAGATCCTTGAGAATTATGTTTTTAGAAAATCCGCAATCTGCAGCTCTTTGAAAATTATTTTTTAAAAATAAATACATGTTCTGTATATCCTTGGAAATATTTTTTTTTGAAAATCCAATTTTTTGCAGATCCTTAAAAATTATTTCTTTATAAAATCCACGTTCTGCAGATCCTTGAAAATAGTTTTTTTAGAAAATCCACGTTCTGCAGGTTTTTGAAAATTATTTTTTTTAGAAAATCCACGTTCTGCAGGTTTTTGAAAATTATTTTTTTTAGAAAATCCACGTTCTGCAGATCCTTGAAAATTATTTCTTTAGAAAATCCATGTTCTGTAGATCCTTGAAAATAGTTTTATTTAAATAATCCACGTTCTACAGATCCTTGAAAATTATTTTATAGAAAGACCGTGTTCTGCAGATCCTTGAGAATTATTTTTTTTAGAAAATCCACGCTCTGCAAATCCTTGAAAATTATTTTCTTTTGAAATCCACGCTCTGGAGATTGATGAAAAGGTTTTCTTTAGAAAATCCACGTTCTGCAGATCCTTGAAAATTATTTTTTTAGAAAATCCACGTTCTGTAGGTCCTTGAAAATGTTTTATTTAAAAAATCCATGTTCTGAAATTTTTTTTTTATAGAGCATCCACGATATATCGATCCTTGAAACTTTTTCTTTAAAATCTCCAAGTTGTGTATATCCTTAACATTATTTTCTTTTGGGAAATTTACTTTCAGTATATCCTTAAATTTTTTTCTTTAGAAAATCCCTTTAAATTAGTCCTTGAATTTTTTTTAGATCCAGTTTTTGTTGGTTCTTGAAAATATTTTCTTTAGAAAAAACCCTCATTGTTTTTTTAATAGAAAATCCTCATATGTTGCCCTTAAAAACATTTTCTTCAAAAAGTCCTCTTTGTTGTTTCTTGAAATAGTTTTCTGTACAAAAATCACGTCCTTCGGTTCTTTTTTTCTTTAGAAAATCGTCATTATGCTTGTCCCTGAAATGTGTTTGTTAAAAAAATCCACGTTCTGTTGGTCTTTGAAAAATATTTCCTAAAAAATTCTCGTTCTGTTGGTCGTTGAAAAGGTGGTCTTTAGAAACACCTCGTTCGTTTCTTTGGAAAAGCCACCTTTCGTTGGTACTTAAAAATAATCTTTGAAAAATCTACGACCTGCTGGTCCTTGAGCAAATTCCCTTTAGAAAATTCTCTTTCTTTTAGTCCTTGTTTCTTTAAAATTTCCAAGTTTTTTATATCCTTGACATTATTTTCTTTAAAAAATTTACGTTCTGTAGATCGCTATAAAATGTCTTCTTCAGAAAAACCACCGTTTAGCGATCCTTGAAAGTTGTTTCTTTAAAATCTTCAAGTTCTGTAGATCCCTGTAATTATTTTCCTTGAAACTTTTTTCTTTAGAAAATTTACTTTCTTTGAAAATTATTTTTTTAGGAAATCCACGTTCAGTAGATCTTTGAAAATTATTTTTTTAGGAAATCCAGATTCTGCAGATTCCTGAAAATTATTTTTTAGAAAATCCACGTTCTGTAGATTTTTGAAAAATTTTTTAGGAAATCCAGGTTTTGCAGATCCTTGAAAATTATTTTTTAGAAAATCCACATTCTGTAGATCCTTGAAAATTATTTTTTTTTAGAAAATCCACGTTCTGCAGATCTTTGAATATTATTTTTTTTAGGAAATCCACATTCTGTAGATCCATGAAAATTATTTTTTTTTAGAAAAATCCACGTTCTGCAGATCCTTCAAAATTATTTTTTTAAAAAATCCACGTTCTGTAGATCTTTGAAAATTATTTTTTTTAGGAAATCCACGTTCTGTAGATCCTTGAAAATTTTTTTAGGAAATTCAGGTTCTTTAGATTCTGAAAATTATTTTTTTGAAAATCCACGTTCTGCAGGTCTTTGAAAATAATTTTTTTTAGTAAATCAACGTTCTGTAGATCCTTGAAAATTATTTCATTAAAAAATACACGTTCTGCAGATCCTTGAATTTTTTAGAAAATCCACGTTCTGCAGATCCTTGAAAATTATTTTTTTTTTAGAAAATCCACGTTCTGCATATCTTTGAAAATTATTTTTTTGAAGATCCAGGTTCTTCAGATCCTTGAAAATTATTTTTAGAAAATCCACATTCTGCAGATCCCTGAAAATGATTTCTTTTAGAAAATCCATGTTCTTCAGATCTTTGAAAATTATTATTTTGAAGATCCAGGTTCTTCAGATCCTTGAAAATTATTTTTAGAAAATCCACATTCTGCAGATCCCTGAAAATGATTTCTTTTAGAAAATCCATGTTCTTCAGATCCTTGAAAATTATTTTTTTCGAAATCCAGTTGCTGCATATCTTTGAATATTATTTTTTAGGAAATCCACATTCTGTAGATCCTTGAAAATTATTTTTTTTGAAAATCTGTAGTTTGCAGATCCTTGAAAATTATTTTTTTTGAAAATCTGTAGTTTGCAGATCCTTGAGAATTATGTTTTTAGAAAATCCGCAATCTGCAGCTCTTTGAAAATTATTTTTTAAAAATAAATACATGTTCTGTATATCCTTGGAAATATTTTTTTTTTTGAAAATCCAATTTTTTGCAGATCCTTAAAAATTATTTCTTTATAAAATCCACGTTCTGCAGATCCTTGAAAATAGTTTTTTTAGAAAATCCACGTTCTGCAGATCCTTGAAAATTATTTCTTTAGAAAATCCATGTTCTGTAGATCCTTGAAAATAGTTTTATTTAAATAATCCACGTTCTACAGATCCTTGAAAATTATTTTTTAGAAAGACCGTGTTCTGCAGATCCTTGAGAATTATTTTTTTTAGAAAATCCACGCTCTGCAAATCCTTGAAAATTATTTTCTTTTGAAATCCACGCTCTGGAGATTGATGAAAAGGTTTTCTTTAGAAAATCCACGTTCTGCAGATCCTTGAAAATTATTTTTTTAGAAAATCCACGTTCTGTAGGTCCTTGAAAATGTTTTATTTAAAAAATCCATGTTCTGAAATTTTTTTTTATAGAGCATCCACGATATATCGATCCTTGAAACTTTTTCTTTAAAATCTCCAAGTTGTGTATATCCTTAACATTATTTTCTTTTGGGAAATTTACTTTCAGTATATCCTTAAATTTTTTTCTTTAGAAAATCCCTTTAAATTAGTCCTTGAATTTTTTTTAGATCCAGTTTTTGTTGGTTCTTGAAAATATTTTCTTTAGAAAAAACCCTCATTGTTTTTTTAATAGAAAATCCTCATATGTTGCCCTTAAAAACATTTTCTTCAAAAAGTCCTCTTTGTTGTTTCTTGAAATAGTTTTCTGTACAAAAATCACGTCCTTCGGTTCTTTTTTTCTTTAGAAAATCGTCATTATGCTTGTCCCTGA